CACTGCACCTGTCCTCACCCATACTCATCTCGACCCTGTGCAGCAGGTTATTGCTGTCAAAGGTAACGAGACTGGCAATCCATGGATCCTCCGCTTCACCGACGCCCTTCAGACAGCCGTCAACAAGTCAGGCCTCGAAGAGGAACTCTACCTTTTCTCCGGAAGCGATGATATCTGGGCGCAGGACTTCATGGAGCCTGGCTTCGCTTCAATGCCCGGTCCCGACGGACCCATCACCCTGCGTATCATGATCCGTTCTCCCCAGGACGAGCGCGTTGCCGGCAGACAGCTCTTCGAATACTACCGCGACACTGGTATCGGCGCTGTCCAGCAGCTCGGTGGTGCCCGCGATGAGATCAACTCCGGTGGTAACATCGAGACCATTCCTCCCTACGAGTTCAACGGCACTAGTTGGCCCGCCGGTCGTCTGATTCTTGGCAACCATGGCGAGCAGAAACACTTCATGCTTCCCTTCTTCCAAGCTCAAGAGACACAAGATCCCCTTCTTCTCGATACAGACTGGCTCGTCATCGGCCACGTTGACGAATTTATCCAGTTCATCCCTGTCGATTCGCCTCGTGGTTGGGTCGTTATGGTCACCGATCCCATGATGGGCGTCGAAATGCTCCAGCAGCTAAAGGACAGCGGACACGGCTCAGAGCACGCCTTTTCGCGCAAGAACGATAGCCAATCATTCGACAACTGCACCTCCGATTTCTCCTGTGCTGCTATTCCCGTTCCGCCAATCACTATCAATGAGTTGCTTGCCAATGAGGACCTCATGTCTGTGCAGAAGCGCTGCGCCGGGCGTATCGAGGGCAATCTACAGATCCTCAAGGAAGCAACAGGAGTCACCGACGACGAGATTATTCGCCTACCTGAGATGTTCAACGGAAATCCTTTCGGCGACCTTTCCGCAATCATTTCCGGTAATGCGGCAAGTGGCTCGACATTTAGCGGAAACTCTTCCGGTAACGCGACAAATGAGCTGAAGGTCGGTGCGCTCTTCCCCGGTGTTATCAACGGCATTGTCTTGACCGACTTTGACACATACATTGCTCCTAACCCCTGGGGTCCCGTTGTGAACGGAACGGATGTTCTTGCCGAGAAGCTCAAGTCGCTGTACGCCAGTGTGGGTATGGATGTCATCTACATCGACGACTGGAACACACATCACAACTTCGGCGGCGAGGTTCACTGCGGTACCAATACTGTGCGCGATATGGATAACGAGTGGTACTCGTCATGGGCATCCGATGATTGTGATGATGAAGGTGGAGATGACGATGACGAGGAAGGCGATGGCGAGATTTACTAGGCTTAACTACGTCGTGGAGATACTGGCCATGACCTCCATGTTGCATTCATCTGCTCGCATTCAATCCAGCAGCCTCTTTCACAATCTTTGTCTACGCTTCTACTTGAAAACTATCTCGAAGGCTGCGACGACGTCTTGTCTACTCAGAGTGATCCATTCGCACATGTACGTGTATCTAGGTAGCATTCATCTTTGGGGTACTCGGATCAAAAACGCCGGTTGAGGAAGTAAATCCACACGGTGTGAGATATAGTGACTCTCGGTAGCTACAACGTTTCATTTCGTTCGTGTATCAAATTTCCGACAGGGAATAAAAAAGCTTCTGCTCTTTCGCACTGGTCGACCTTTCATTGCTACCAACGGAAAAAGCCCGGACCTGTGTGGCCTTTACGCGCCAGCTACTTAAATATGTACCCAGGGAGCTCCACTTTGGAAACGATTTAACTCTCGCAAATACCTCCACCAGGGTTAGATTCTACCCTGATGATCTCGAAGCTTTTGGCGCTCGGTGCTGTTCTTCTCGCCTCTGCCACCGCTAACGTCTTCGACTCGTCTTACTCCAATGTCTCCAGCGCTGCTATCGACGAAGGCAGGATCGAAATCGCCGTATTAACTGACACATCCACGACAAAACCCGCCGATGACGTTCTATGGAATGCTGCGTTAAGCAAAGGCCGAATGTTGATACTAGCCACGAGCTTGAACCTTCCAGAGGCTGCCAAGGTCTATCAACAGATGGAAACTCCCTGGGATGGAACCCTCGAACGCGAACTAGCACTTTGGGGCTACTCGGAACCTGACTACCCGGAAGTTGAAGACTCTGACGAAAACTGTGTCATGGGGAAAGAAAACCACGGCCTTCAAGATATGCTCAAAGAGCTACATGCAGATGATAGAGATTCACGTGATGGAGGGGACAACATCTGTCACACAATCCAACATCAAGACGGGCCTACCTTGGAGAAAGATGAGAACGGTGAAGTCCCAGAAGATCCTAGGGAACAATATTACAAAGTTGAAGGGCGCAGATACAGGGTATGTGAGCACATAGAAATCGATATGGCTAAAACTTGACGCAATGCAGCTGACATTGCTCTAGGTTACCGGCGCGGATTCCACCATTGGAATAAATCCAAAGGCTGGTATCATCTTCTTTCTGACTCGTGAGAGCCCCGCGTACGCGGCGAGAAAGCTATGGAATGTACCCTCCGTCAAGCCGGACGAAATGCCTGCCCTCAAAAGAAGCTCGGATATTGCCTGGGGTCTCTGGAATAGGCATTGCAAAGAAAGCCTGTCCAACATCAACTACTTCTTCACGGTGGCAGTTGCGAACCCGGAAACGCGTAAGATCATCAGTAGAGCCATGGGACAAAATGCTGTGCCGAATGCGCCAGGATACACCTTTAGAGCTGGGAATGAGAACTTCATCGCTCTGCTGGGTATGTATACGATTGCAGCTTTCTCTGATATGTTCACCAGAAGCTCTCGAGTTCTCAACATTTACAGGATATGCACTAACTACCAGTCTCTAGGATCGCCGAACCTTGTAGCAGTAATGTTCTTCCTCCTCCAACACAAGACTCGGTTTGGCCACAATCGATGGGTTACTGAGATCCGTGTTTTCATACCGAATGGGGATTTGAATACGGTTTCGATGCTCGTAAAGGTTGAGCGAGCGCCCCCGACAGAACCTCCCGAGCCCATTGAAGATCCAGATTGCGCGGAGAAAAGGTCGTTGAAAAGTGCGGCAGTCTCGCCGCTGGGTATCGATAGTTGGAAGGGTGGCGAACGTGCAAACTCGACCTTCGAAGACGTGAATCTGGTTAGAAGACATATTATATGGGCATAGACTCGGTCACAAGCGATAGACATAGGATTTCCATGGTGAGTTCAAATTAGATGCTTTGGCGACTCCATTAATGGAGCATCTCATACAAGAAAAGAACTGAACATCTATGTCGTGAAAGTTCACATTACCTCAGGATTTTATCCACTCATCTTGTACACTAATGTAGTCGGCAGAACACGTTCCTACATCTCGATTCCTGTACTTTCACAACATAGCCATTGCGCATTGTTGACACACGAGCTCCTACTCTGGACAGTTAAGTGATTGTTCACTTCCTTTTCACCCACCACACCACTTTCTCGATCGCGTATCGCCAGACCAGGATGCCTACAGAATACGGCGACGAAACAGTTGCTGAGCTCGAATGGCTCCCGCCGAAACAAGAATATATTGCCAACCTACGCTCAGTCGCACCTCCAGCGGACGAGCCAACATGTGCTATATGTCGTGGTGAGTGGGAGTATCCGGCCCAGGAAGTCGTCGAGCCAAGCCCTCACTGCTCTCGACATCCTCACCACAAAGACTGTCTTCTCATAACCTTTGCAACGAAAGACGGAGAGGAAGTCAGCAATCTGTGTCCATTTTGCCGTCGCGAGCTCTTCGAGAAGATCACACAGCCGCCTGTGGAGCCCCCGCATAATCCGAACACTACCTATCAGCAAACAGTCCAACTCTATGACAACCTTGTGGCATTTCATATCCAGATTGAATACAACGACGACAAAACCGAAGATCCACAGCTGCTGTATCCTTCTGGTCCAACTATTGAGGACGCCTTGCAGAAAGACGGTTACTGGTCTACTCTTCCCCGTTTCTTGGACGAATGGCACCACCGCAATGCATCTCAGATTATCGAGCAGACAAAAAGCTATAGGAAACCACTGTCGATCGTGGATGTGGGTCGCACTGTGGTTACTGTGTTCTTTGGCAATGGCGAGCCACCATCTCGCAGGATTACACGTCTCACAGATGAAGGTCGCGCAGCTATCACTGCGCTCTTTGCGCACGAACCCGACATCGAAGAGTTGTATCTAGAGGCTACGGAGCTACTAGATCACCAACAAGGCGAAATTGTCATGCAATGTATCCGCGCTGCTCTCATATACTACGACCAGTCTGCCTTCCCCCAACACGTCGAGGATTTGCAGGGTAAAACTCGTTGGCTCATTGCCTACCATGTTCTTACTTCTCTATTAACCGGACGCAGACGCACTGATGAGAACTGTTGGTTTCGAGGAACAAATATCGCCCGCTGGCTCCAGCTGGTCCGTTTCCGTAAGATGCTGCACCGAGGAATCAAGCACTGGGCATCACCGACCTTCTTCGCCAGCCAACCCCCACTCGAGATAAATTTTCCTTACGGTCACCTTATGGGTGTTACCGAGGGCTTCGGCGAGCATGACTTATTGGAAATACAGTATTTCCGGCCCACCGATGCAGAGCCGTATCGAACTGGTATTGGACGCATCGATCGTGGTTATGAAATGATCATAAAGGAGGACACCTCGGTATGTCCATTAGATCCCAATCTCCCAAATGGCACTATATTTCGATTTCTGAAGGACGGAACCTTAACAGCTCGGGAACTCAGTCCTGCCTTCCTTCATGACATTTCCTGCAACCGTGAGTAAGGTTTTTTCGATCTTGTTCACGCGAATGGGAGTATACTGAGGATCATGCGTAGGGTTATGCCATAGGGGCAGTAGGGGTGGCTAGAACTCGTGTTGCATGTTGCCAAATACATACTATCAATTGTTGACAACTAGATAGCTTCTGAGGCAGTGTACACTTGCCTGGGTACTATATTTAGCAACGTTTTGCGCTATGGGCTTACTAGTTCCCATGTGTATCCGCGATCTCCTTCTGGCCCTTCCTCACCCACGCTTTAAACGGATCCTGCACATCAGGATTCCTCCTCAACTTCTCAATCTGATCTTCGCCCGACGGCACCAAAAGCCCTCTCTTGACCGCATCTCTCTCCTCAATCTCCTCACACCACTTCTTTAGCTTCGGAAACTTGGTCATCTCAATCCCCGCCCAAGGTGCCCACCGAACCCATGTAAAAGTCGTGATATCCGCAATACTGTACTTGCCGCGGCCTTTGCCTGCGAGATAGTCTCTATCCTGGAGTCGCGCTTCTAGTACCGAGTAGAGGCGCTTTGTCTCGTTCTTGTATCTCTTTGTGCCATAGTCAATCTTCTCGGGTGCGTAGCGCACGAAATGGTTCGCTTGTCCTTGCATTGGGCCCACGCCGGCGTTCTGGAAGAAGAGCCACTGTATCATATCCATCCGCTCGTCACTATCCTGGAAGCTGAACTTGAAGTCTTTGTCATAGTGTTCGGCGAGATACAGAAAGATGGCTCCAGATTCAAAGACGGGGTATGAGTCGCGGCTGTGGTCTACAATCGCGGGTATGCGACCGTTGGGGTTGACTTTGAGAAAGGAGGCGGACTTCTGCTCGTCTTTGGATAGATCGATGGCGGTGGTCTTGTAGGGGATGCCGAGTTCTTCGAGGAAAATGGAGATCTTTTGGCCGTTGGGTGTGGCCGCTGTGAGCAGCTCGATGTTGGGGGTCGTCATTTTGTGTTTTTTCTCTCACTTTGCAGCGTCTCTGGTATGTGAGATTTCTTGAACAGGAGGCATCGATGCTGCAGTATCACTGCTTACATAGATGCGCTATACCCGCACTACCGCTGGTCCCGTGGGCTCGTATCATGATGACGTATGCTTGAAATAGCTGAAGAAGACGTCATTAGGGTCTGCTGTTTGACTGCTAGCATTCCGAAGGTAATTGAATATTTCCATCAAAAGAATGCATTCGAATTGAAAGAGCAGTCGTTCAGCTTGCAATGTAACAAAGAAGTGGAGAGCTCTTCCCACTTTCAACGCGCGTTGGCATTCGGGTTAGCGCGGCGCTAGTCCACGCTCAGGTGTCGCGTGCCTCCCGCGACCATTATCACCACGACGCAACACCGAACTGGATCTCTTGTGACACATGAACTCCTTCCTTCTCTTCTATGCTGCAGGTTCAAACAAAGAGGATATCTCTCGATCGCCGATAATGTACTGGTACGCCGATGCATAGCCATGCCGTTCGTTTCGCGTGGTGGTCTGATTTTCTTTCGGCTTTAGTCCCATTTGGCCCAAAACAGCAACCATCATGCCACTTTTGAGAGCAAGATCCAATAGGTGTGTAAGGGACCGTTGCATGTGACCGATGTTGAGCGACTTTCGGGGCTTGAAATACTGCTTGTATGTGGAGGCGACGGTCCTACTCCCTCTACCGTAATTCTGTTGTTCATTCCTCGTTATTCATTCTTCCCTCCTTCTCTATCGCGCAACACTACTCTCCACAGCTTTGTGACCTTGCAGTCTATCTACCATTCGGGTAACTCGCGATACAGCCTGGCAAATCACCGTTGGAGAAAACTCAAACTTCCACCGTATAGAACCGAGATTATTCGCGCAGAGACTCCAAGATCGAGCACGAAGCACAGAAAAGCACTCGGAACAAGGTGTGCGAAATAGGCTGACTACAGAATAACGCCTGCTTCTCAAATAACACACATTGGGAACCCGCACTTCTACCGCCAGACCACATTCGACTCTTTCTCAACTTCTCATTTCAGACGAACCTTTCTGGCTCCCAACACAACAAAACCCACCACAATGCTGATAACCCGCACCTTCTCACTCACAAACTTCCTCATCGGCTCGTCAGCCCTCTGCTTCCAGATCTTCGTACTTTACCCGTGGCATGAAAAGCTAGAAGAAGAGTTCGTGGAACTGAAGAAAGAACACGCGAGGTTACTGGAGGAGACGCACGAAAGGCACAGGGGAGAGTTGAGGGGCATTAGAGAACAATTGGAGTTGGCCAACGAGCGGAGGAAGACTGGGAAGTTTTGGTAGAGTGGTAGGATTGGAGGAATTGATAGAAGGGAGAGTTTTGCTGAGGGAGGGGGAGGAGGAGCGGAAATGGAGAACGCAATGGGTTGTGGGATATCTAGACGGACGGGACATGCTACAAAGCTAAGCAAAAACATACGAACGATGTTGGAAGTACCTGTACACACCACCTGTCCAAATCCCAACCCCATCCTGTTGTCGCTACGCGGAGGACGGCATCACATTCGAATGGCAAACGGAGCAACGCGCTCCTAACGTGACTAGATATGCCCAATACTCTAGGATGAGGCACCATCATGCGAAAGTCCTATGCGTATCTGAGAATAAACACGCAGACGCAGCCAATAGTACATGGAGCGAACACAAAGTTCACGAAAGCGAATGATCTATTGAAATACCACCTCCGTTCCCTCCGCGAAAACCTTCCTTAGCCCATATAACAACGCAGAAAAAAAAACTTCGCACACAATAAACTACTCCATCCCATCGATAACTCTCCCCTTCCAATAGCACCAACGGCTTACCCTCCCTCCCTCCTGTCAAGTCTGTCAAACGCGGACCCAACTCCGCCACTCGGGGTCCATCCAATCCGTCCTAAACCCACCCTGTCCACCAACCCAAAAACAGCCCTTCCGAGCGCCGATCTTAGGGGGGGGGAGGGGTCCCTCCGCCCAGCAAACCAGCGGACCAGCAAAACCCCTTACCCATCCTCCTTCTCCACAATGACGCCAGCAAGGCGCGGAAACAGTAATGCAGGTTATGGTGATCAGCACGCACCAAACAAACAAAGCCGTGCAAAAGGGATCAACACGCATGCAGCGTGTGCCGAGCCGCGTGGGTTGACAACTGACGTTTGACGTGCCGCGTGCAGGTGATTAATTCGCGGCAGGCTGGCATGATGATGATGATGATGATGATGATGTGTGGTGCGGGACGGGTTGGCGTGGGATTGATTGCGAGACGCGCGTTTTGCGATTCAGACTGGAAAGGCGATTTTCACGTGCAAAGATAATGACAGGAGGTGAGTTTCGTAGTCATTCGCATTTCAGTAGATAAATGAGAAAGGAGGCAGGCGCTAGGAGACGTACAAAGCCCGTGAAGAGTATAACATGCAGCATTGGAACGGGAAATGGAATTAATAGTAGGAAATGTAACGCCTTGGTATAGTAGTGTCGAAGAAAGCTCTCAATCCGAAGCCGTCATGTCTCGGAGAGTGATGAATGGTCCTCCTTAGCAGCACTCGCAGCCCTTGTGTCCTGCTGCGGATCCGGCTGTCGCCCAGGCCTAACAACACGCCGCCTGGCCCCTCGATTGTACCTGCGTGTGCTCCCTCCCGCGCGAGAACAGATATCTCGCATGCTAAACCCCCAAAATCCGTGCCCCATAAGGAATGTGACCGTGTGCATGGCCGGCTGTGGCTGCGAGCAGCTGTCGAATCGCGGCTTCCCTGAACGAAAAAGATGAAAAGTGGTGTTCGCGACAATCCTCATAGCTTATGTCTGAATCTCCTTCTTCTCTGCGCCCTTTGGCCGGAAGACGGCGTCTTGACCTGACATGCGACGTGCGAGTGCGCGGTCCAGCTTTGCTCCCAGCGCCAGCTTGCTCATGTCGTCTGTCTTGCGCTCGTTGAGGGCGTACCGTTGTTGGACTAGGCGCTTGTCTTCGAGGCGGTCAAAACCTGCGTTCCATGTCTTGATGTCGTGTGACTTGGGGTCGCCGGCTGTTGACGAGGCTTGCGACAGGTGCGAGGGCGCGATGGAGGGTGTGAGGGTGGGTGTGGCGCTGTAGGTGGACATGCGGGTGGATGCGCGGTTGGCGGCCGACTTCTTCTCGTTAGACTGTGACTGTGCTTGTTCCGACATGGTCGCCGAGGGGTGTGCGTGTTTGTGTTGGTGCGGGCGTGTTGGAGCGCAAAGGCAGGTGTTTGCGTGGTGAGTGTGAAGGGAAGGGAAGGCGCAAAGGAGTGAATGTCAAGCACGCAGTGCAGGTGCTCCTCGGCGAGCATCGACCACACGCAGGGGACGTCTGAAACGGGCAGTGGATACGGGAGAATGACTTACGTTGGCAAGCATGGGCCGCGAGGACTCAAGAGAGTTTGTCATGATGCGCGCCACGGCGAGTCCGGTGGTTAGTAGGTGGGCGGGGATAGCGTGCTGCTTGCTAGGTCGTCGGAACTGCAATCGTACGACGGCGATTGAAGGGTATAAGAGAGGGCGCACGCAAACAGAGCAGTCAGCGGCCGTTGTCCGTGCTGGGTCTGTAGAGAAAAGCGAGGAGATGGGTGTTGTAGTCGGTAGAAGTCCTGTGCTCAGCCTGCCTTACTCCTGCGCGTTTCAAAGGGCCCAGATCGGCAAGGGGCGTCGTGAGTAGCAAGATGCACGCGCAGGGGCACCACGGTTAGCGAGTCGCAACGGGCGGCGGTGATGTTTGGTAGGATTCTAAGACGTCAGCCTTGCAGACAAGCAGCGGCATGTGCGTGGTCAAGACGCGTAGCAGGAGTCTCGCCGACGAACACGACGCGATTATGTAGGCAGCGGCGGCTGTAAGCAAGGAAAGAGCGACCCCTCTACCACTCCCACCACCGGCATCATGACAACCACCAGACGGCTCTGAAACGGCCGCACGTAAGGATACTGCATCTAGGGATACTTGCATTTCGATAAAGTGCTGAGTGAGTTGCATGCAGTCAGCCTCCACTCAAGCCATTCACGCCGACCGCGACACCCGACCAATCCCCTTGGCCACCGCCCACGCTTGCATCGCCTATGCCACGTTTTTCTGCGGGAACCCAGAACCCACGTTGGCCGCTACAGGGCCCCGTGTTGCTTAGGTTTAGCTTCGTCTCCACCGGTGCCCGCGCATTGCCGCTCCTGGTTTGGTCCTGCCATGAGCCATGCACTTGTTCCCTGACTGAAGAACTCCTTGCATTATCTATGAGACATCCATTCCTCGCGAAACGGGAGCAGTGAATATCGACAGTATCGCATGCCCCGTCATCCGTCAGCCCGAAGTCCTTAGGTTAATCAATGTAGCGTCGGCTTCTTTGAAGTGACTGCAGCTGATCCCTCGCACTAGTTCATCAGCTCGCCCAGGCGTTTGGGCATCGGAGGGCGCTGCAGTCTGGCAATGAGCAGCTAAACGTCAAGGCACAGAGTGCCGCCCCCTTTCCATTCCAGTTAATCTCGACCACCGCATTTGACATTTGGCGAGCGCATGTGAGGAAATGCACGTCACACTGATCTTGCAGATGCGTCGCCGATAAGGTTTGCCCACCCACCAGTAGCCAAAGCAACCCCCAAGCTTCAACCCCGTCCCCCATTGCCCACCAACCCATACGCCTTCCAACCACATCCTCACATGCGCAATCGCCTGCCCAACCCCACATGCTCCCCAAAGCGGCAGCACGACAGAACCTTTCATCCAACGTCCGAGCGCCTGCATGAAAATGCATGCTCACCACGTGGCCGCAACGTGGTTTCCGTGGACGCACGGCCCGCCGCTGTCTGACAATTGCGGGTTCCTGGCACATGGCATCGCGGTGGAGCCAGCGCAAAGGTCGGGCTGCATCGGAGCACCATCCTGGTGGTGAAACCGCTGAGCTATGCATCGAGCTGCACGGTGTCGCGCGCATGATCTAGTGCGTAAGCTGTGTCTATATCTGAGGTTCACGATGGAGGAGGCGAGCACTGCATGGTATGTATGTCTGGATGGGCTGAAATGTGGCGTTTGAGAGTCTGGATGGGAGAAAAAGCATACATGATGGCTTGCGGGTTCGCTTGCCGAAGAGTCTAGACTGCGACGCGGGACAGTCTTCATCAACACCGTCTCTAGAGACAAAACATCTCCGAGGATATGGCAAAAGTGACGGAAAAACGCGACTCAGAAACGACTGAATTTGTGTAGATACGAAGTCCGCAGATGAAGTAGATCACAATTTGGTATCGCCGAAAGTACGAGCCTTGACTCGTGCTTCTCCTTACCGCTCATCTACATCGCCATACCGGGCATACGGTCAAGCCCTAAAAGTGATTGTTAGTATGAGAACATCACAGCACGATTGGAAGAACAACGTACAGCCATCGATATTCTCCTTGATAGCGCTCTTAACTTGGCATTGGTTCATGGCCTGAACATTCTGACTCTACAACTCCTCGTTAGCAGCCACAACATGCTTCATGAACCCACACTGCATCACATACCTTCAAAGGTCTTCCATTCTCGCAAGCTTGGAACATGCAGTTGTTGTCCATCGCCTTCTGTAGACTGTCGTCTTTCCAGCCAAAGAGGTAGTCCGCATGGGTACCATAGCCCTTGTTGTCGTTGTAAGAGAGGAAGAAGGGATTGGAGCCATCCTTGGGCCACATGCTGCTGAACTGAGTAGTATCCCAGAGTGTCTCATAGGCAACCTGTGGCATGCGCACTGGGTGCGAAGACGGACATGTGCCGGCAACCGCGAATGCCTCCTTGGCTGTGTTGTACATATGATCTTGGTGGTTGGGCGAGTCGACGTTCTTGCCGTCCCAGCAACTGGATGTTGATGTTTATGTCAGTACCCTCTCACTTGAATTGTTCACGAGGCAGACACTTACGAGGGGAAGTGGTGCACAGTCATGATGCCACCTTTGCAGGCCTTGGGTGGGAAGTCTGGGCTCTCGGGGAAGCGGGTGTTCTTGTCTTGCAGACACACGAAGCGAAGACCTGGGTGTTTCTTCGCGTCTTCTACCGTGTTGGTTGTAGGCGAACCTACAGTCATTCGGAAGCCCTGAGTGGGTTAGTAGTGTGTTACATGTGCCGCAGTATGACTGACCTTGGGAAAAGCAGTAATCTTCTGGTTACCATTCCCATTGAAGTCTTGCTGTGTGTAGTAGATGGCTGCGAAGAGGTAGATACCCAGTCAGTGTGTGTCTCACTTGCGTCTAGTAGGTTAGAACTCACTCATGCCACCGTTGATACCGTTCGGCAAAGCGCTGTTCTGCATGATAGGCACTCGCTTATACGAGCCGTTGGTGTGTTTGAAGAACATCGCGGCGGTCCAGTAATTGCTATATCTATCAGCTTCAGTTGGAAGACGTGAACAGGCTACCAAACCTGAAGTCCTCTGAGAACGTGCACGTTGTGCAGGTAGCCAAGGTAGATGGGTCTTCCTGCATAGTGGCATTGAAAGCATTGCCACCAACAATTTGATGAACATGAGCTGAAGGAAGTTTGCCTGGCTCAACGAGCGGGTCAAGCCGTTGGATGCTCAAGGTTGAGCATCCGAAGCGTAGTGCGGCCTGAGCAGGCACTGCGAGAGCGGCAATCTGGTACCACTTCATTTTCGTGTATCCTTGTATGGTTCTTGTAGGTGTGTTCTTGCTGAAAGGTGCGCGAAGGACCGCCCACGATCTTAAGCTGAAGGATTGTTAATAGCTTCGAGTCTTGGTATCTTGTTGTCAACCCTGCTCCATGGCATCGATGGTGTCTGGTGTGGATATGCTTTATCCGTTGATTAAAGACCTCTGCGTGTGACCAATAACGGCTATGACTTTGAGAAATCCCCGCGTTGATGTTGAAGACCTAGCCACAGTGCTACACCATTGCAATCAATTCCAGATTTCGGCACTTGTCTTCCGCGTAAACCTCCGAGAGGCACGGCACTTCTCGTTTGGAACGGACAGGGAGATTGTCGCCATTCGCATTGTAGAGAGAGGTGAGAATCGCGCACAATGTCGTCAATGAGCGTACGGCTAGATAGACGGAGGAGGAGGACATGTGTAGCAATACCGCGCGCACCGACACTCGCTCTCTCCAAATGCCTTCAACGGCCACTCTAGTTCCCTGCTACGCAGGTTCGCGCGTGACAAGTCATGAAGAGCTGAAGTCGCAGAGGTGATATACGGCAGATGTCACCCCCGAACGAGTAGCCTTGGTACCTCAGATAGAGACTTCTCCCGCCGATCACTCGAGCATTGTAGGAGCTTCCATGGGATCATGAGCATCCAGTTTCTACGGTTCGTGGCACCCTGCCAAGATCGGTGTCATGTCAGCGACACTGTAGAGGCCGTTGAATATCCATGTAAGGAACTGATTGGTACCGGCTGGCATGGTACGGGTGTCTCGTATAGTACTAACCCCCCGGCGATTTCACCGCGAGGATTGACGAACATGAACGAGATCACAGTGCAGTGCCGACGTTCTGAAAAGACACCAGCGGTCGAGAGCGACGAGAGGAGGAGTAGACCGGAGGAGGACCGACGTCATATGTGCTATGACCGCGGGTAGTATCGGTGCGCTCGAGATCGGATTGTAGCTCAGGTGGATGCATGCGCAGACCAGAGTCATTAACAGAACCACGCCGCCATGCCCAACGTCAAACCTCAGGCCATGTCCCCACATCTCGCGCTCCGCAGTCCAGAACACCGGGGCACGCTTGACGTAACCACAGACGTTGAAAAGGGTGCAGGTGCGCGCGCTACCATCTTCCGAAAGCTTATTGTGTGCCTGACAAGGAGGGGTAAAATTGGGCGAACGACGTTCGCTACAATCCATGGCTTGGCGCACCCGCCTGCCTATCACGGACAGCGCACGTCGCCTGGTATGGGATACACACCTTATCGCAGTTTTGGGCACGGGGGGACATGAGATGGAATGGACGTGCGTGGAAGTGAGGTATTAGGGTCTGTCATCACTCTTGCGGTTTCTCCCGGTAGTCAGACAACTGAGGGCTGGCAAAAGTGCCCTTTGACTAACCTGCACACAAGCTGATCCGGCTGGCAGACACCGGTAGACCTTCTGGAGAGCGAGCGTGGAGCGATGCAACGCGATATGCCATATACGCAGCAGTCAAGAGAATACGCTTTTCGACACAGACGAGACTCGACTATGATTCATATGTCTTGTTTCCAGAAGACAGTACTCAACTTGTCGCTACTACCACTTCCTTCCATGCAACCCAAAGACCGCTGCTTCAAGCATGCGAAGATCATAGAACACCGTCACAACCACCAGACACCACCTAAACTGTCTCATAAGCTCAAACAAACAAAGTCATGCTTTCATCTTTATCACAAGATCTCCATCACGCTCATATATATCTCGTTCTTCTGACTATCATCATCAGGCCCATATCATCTCCCGTCACTCACCGTCTATAAGAAAAGCCCGTCGGCGCGCTCACCAAGACTTTCCACCATCATAACCCATTTGCTTCAATTGTGATGGCTCTGTCCAAGCAACAATCTTCCCATCGAGAGAAGCCAAAAGCATCTACCAATGCCAGCACGCGTAAGCTACGTAGCAAGCTGAAGCCTGTGTATGAGCACGAGCATCTTATACAGGAGCCATCCGGCAAGCCTGGAAGAAACGAAGATCCTCTTCCACACCCCACCGCACCCAAGCAAGGCCTTCACCCCACTCAGTCTCCCCGTAACGGAGTTCGCGGAGGCATACTTCCATCCAACCTCAACCACTTCAATCATCGCCGTCACATCCATTCCGAACAAGCTGATAACAGCTACCCCCTCCGAAAAGGCTACAGCGCCGCAGACCCGCGCCGCAAGTGGGGAAAGGCCAAGAAGCCCGCTGTCAAACCAGATGTTGTACGTCCATACAAGAAGACTGCCCCTATGCATGTCCAGAAGTGCTTTAGTGTGAGCTACGAATGCTGTCAATGCAACAATGGCATGGTGATCAAGCGAACGGCACACAATCCTGATCGGGCCTACCAGTGTGAAGCTAGACGTGCGGTTGGACAATGTGGTCATAGATGGTGTCCGAAGTGTCCTGTTGTTCGGGAGGAGTGGGTGGAGGATGTGCTTGAGCCGGGTAAGAAGGGTGGGAAGAGGAGCCATGATCGAGGGCCTAGGCCCAAGTACGTGATGCCCGCAGCTACTGAGTGAAGTGCTAGGAAGAAGGTGGTTGTCAAATCATGTATGGTATTCCATAGCAATAGAAACAGGTAACACATATCCCTATAGAATACATACTCCACAACACCCAGTTCCACATCCCAATCTACCCCACCACCCCAGCAAAGTCCACAAGCTCGACAAGCACATTACACACGCCATCAGCCCAAACAGCAAACGCCTTTTCCCTCAGCACACTATACCAATCATCCGCATTGCGAATATCACGCCATCCCTGCGGACCAACAGACTTGATAGCGTAACGGGGAAGAGACTTGGTTTCCGCATGACTGTCGACAGGGAAGACGGGGTGAGTGCTCACTGCCGAAGTGGGTGTGGGAAGGATAGAAGCGTTATCATCTTCGGATGATTGAGGGAGACCGTTGAATGGAGACGATGTTCCGTGGAAAGCATGCTCTGTCTGCAGTGCGTTTGCGGCAGCAGCGAGCCCACGAAGATTGTCTATGCCGGGTTCAACGTCTCGAAATCCGACACTAACGCTGAGTTCGGGGTATCTGTCCTTGGCGGCTTTGAGGAGGAGGATGACGTCTCTCATGAAGTCGTTGTAGTCATACCATGCCAGGTGTGTTTGTGGTTCGGCTGTGATGCGCTTCTCGTCGAGCTTGATGCCAGGTCTGCCGCTCGATGAGGCAAGAACGAGGAAGATGTTGATGTGCGAGAGATTGGGTTCGGTAGGGCTGGCCGTGGGTAACTGTTTGATGGGTTAGCAGCGTCAATCATACTAAGAGCATGAAGGAATCGACCCTACCTTCAAACTCGGCTGTGTGGTTGCGTTGGACTCTACCGCTTCTCTGGAATCCGACTTTTCATCCTTGCCTCGGGAGGAAAGCTGCGGCGTCACGGTTGTGAGTCGTATCGATGGAGCTGTCTGCTGTGACGGCGTGGGATGTTGTTCCAAACTGTGATCGAAGACCGGCTGTGGATGCTGCTCGACTCCACGCCCTGCATCGTCATCGCCTTGCTGGAGCACAGCTTCGGTATTACCTTCTTTGTCTTTCTTCTTCGCGCCACCCTTCCTAGTCTCGATCGCATACTGTCGCTGCCGCTCGTTCGTGACCATTCGTCGCATCAACGGAGTAACGAGGCTAATAATCTTGTTCCCGTCCTTTGGCCATGTCAGTCTTTCCCCAGCATCAGGAGTTTTGTCTTCTCCTAGTGCGCGTGCAGCTTCAATCGCGTCCTTCTCGCCCGGCTTCTCCACATCTTCGCCAAAGAACTGCTCGCCAACGCCTTCGTTCAAGAAGTCCCGGACGCAGTTGAAGAGCCGCAACTTGACCATGTCGGTATCACCTTTACCACGGTTTCCAACGCAGCTCTGCCGCTCAGGATGTGATGTGTCGAGCATGTAGCCTTTTGCTAAAGCTTGTAGTTGAAGGAAGTTCTCTGGGCTTAGCTGGAGGGACATGAACAGCTTGGACATTGGCGGTCGTGTGTACTTGCGAGACGTTCTTTCGGAGGAGCGGCGGAAGAGAGCGGCGGCAGAGTGTACGCCTGCGGCACGGGCATCGTTCAATAGAGACTCACTGGAAGGCGGCACACGGTCGTCGACAGAGTCACCATGCATATTATGGCCATGGTCCTGAAGCCGAGGATCGGTAGATCCGCCAATTCTACATCGCTTAGAGTTGGCAGGCCTATCCGCATGATGCGATGCGTCTTCGGCCGGGGAGCTAGTACGTCTTCTTCTCTTGCCTCTATCCTGTAGTGGGAGAGTCACCGTTCCTGTATCTCCAGTATCCATAGCATGTGTCACCTGACCTGCAGCTGTCGCAGCCTCCAGCAACTCAACGAGGTTATGGTTCTCCTCCAGTGTGTGATCGTCTGACGTCTGACGGGCAGTGTGTTCGGCGTACAGGTGTGGGTTGAGATGGTGTTGGGGCGGCGATGCGAGGGGAGCGGGAGCAGACAAGTCATATTCATCGTCGTCGGACACGAATGGGGGCGGTGCACCGTTTGTACTGTTGGGCGTGGTGACGAACTGGCCGGGGCGCATCTGGTAGTATGGCGCGTCGACGTTTGCCCGCATCGTGGTTCGTATCCCCCGAGATCAGACGGGCCAGACGGTAGGAGCCAAACAGGGCTGGGAGGGATCGGTCGTATGAGCTGTCAATGCACAGATGGTAAGTTTTTGGGTCAAATGTTGAGATGGAGACAGCAACTGAGTTCATGCAACTTGGACTGCGAGTGGAAAACGACTCGATACGTCTACAGGGCGAGCGCGACACCGAATCTCTTTTGTATGCAAGCGCCCACGAGGTTTGGTTTGACACCGAAGCAGCGACATGTTTTGGTTTGGGCGCAAGAGGGCAGCATTTGCGATTCGATGGAGAGGGCAAAGCATATTTTGACCCGACAAGAGGAGAGGGTGGAGTGCAGTTTGATCCGTCTCGGCGACGTAAGCTGGCATCGAGGTGCGGAGATTAGGATCGTGGTTTGGTTCGACGCGAGATGGTAGGAATCAGATCAGCAGACACACCTGATTGCTGTCGTGTGAGAACGACAAGCGGGCCGGCCAGCGGGCCAAATCAACTCGGGATGGGGATGAGTTTGCTTTGTTTGCACGATGACGCGCGCGCATGTGACTTGGGTTGAGGCGATTAGATAAGCCAGCCTCCGCAACACGCGCACTTGAACATGAAAGGAGAGAGGTAACCTAATTTCTTTGCGTGACGGAATGGTAACATTAAAGAATTTAAGCGTGATGTGAACGTAGCATATAGTGTATTCTTCACCTTCTTACAACAGTATCCCACCCCTAGATAGCATGTTAAAACGCCCTTCTAAGACCATAGAAAATCAACGCCATACAGCACGACACGATACGCCGGCTAGAAACCCAGGGTATCAAGAAGAATATCTAAAAACCGTCTCCCTCATGCCACTCTCTCCCCAACTCCTCAGCCCTCATCCTCGGATCCTGTCCCCTCACTTCAGCATCATGTTTCAAGCGATCGACAATGGGTCTCAGCCGATCGATCTCTCGCCTAAACTCAGCGTCTTTCCCTACCTCGGGTATTTCCAGATCTTGCAACTTAGTCTGATCGTTGTCTCGCGTTGCTTCTTCTATCGCCTTTCGCTTCTCCTCCCACTCCCTAAGATCCCTTTCCCGGTCCCCGAGTTCGTTCTTGAGGGCAATGAAATTCGCGTATTGCTCTTCGCCGCCAAAACAGGAGCCGTATTGGTCGCAGAAACAGATGTGTTCCTTGGGGCAGACGACGTTCTGGCCCGTGAAGACGAATTGCCATACGTACTCCCAGATGCGTCCGCTGAGACGGTCTTCCAGACGTGTGTTGAATAGCCAGTCTCTGTACCAGACGTATTGCGCGTAGGGCTTTGCTTGTATGCGTTCTCGTGAGAGGGCGAATTGTGCGCAGCAAGGTTGTGCGAGGACGGTGGGTACTTCGTCGAGGGGGAAGAGCTCGCTCCACGACTTGGCTAGGAGGACCTCTTCCTGCTTCTGGGGGTCCAGCTCGGTTGCTGCCGGGTGCATCCAATCGGGACAGCCGGGATGCCAGCTGCACCTCATGTTCACGAAGCCTTCTCTCCAAACACGGGCTCGGTTGAGTCGGCTTATAAGCAGATGCGCGTTGTTGCCGAGGATCTCGTCGTTGTGCCAGGACAACTGGTGCGCGTGCATGAAGATAGCGACGTCGGGGAGGCTGTCGTAGTTGTCAATTATCCATGAGAGATATATCATGACCTCGTGGCCTTTGTTCTTGGGTGGATGTAGCGGTGCGGAGGGGTCGTCGGCTACGTAGACGGCTGTCTGCTGCTCCGGCATCTTGTCTAGGATCCAGTCAACACTCTCATGCTTCGTCTTGGCAATCACCAGTGTCGAGGTATAGTTGTGTTCTGCAGGCATTGGCGAGCCTGGCTTGAATATGGGGGTCGGGTTCCAGTTCGCATAATCTGGGTCTTTGGTCGCATCTTTCGAGGGCTCGACGGTACCGGTACTCAGAGGTGGCCGCTCGTCACTGCCAATGTGGTCTCCTAGACCGATATGTTGTGGTAGAACCCGCCATGCCTGGCTGGAGTCTATGCCAGAATAGAAGAATGCGACTACGAATAGTGTGAGGATTAGCGCGAGGACTGGAATGACGTTTCGTCGGGTCATCCTGCGTGAGTTGAAAGCGAACGACTGGCAGGGGGCGAAAGGCGTAGATCGCCAAGGTCAGCGTGAGGTCCGGATGGTCTTATACTGTCGCATTGTTAGCCGGGCATACTTGGGATCGGACTTGTCAAGCTCACGGTGCTGGTGGAGTCGCCGCGCGGCAGCTGGGGTTGGTCGAAGGAAAGCTCCGCAGTGACGAACGTGGAACGACGAATGAATGACATAGGCCACCGGAGCGCGTATGAGTACAGAGGCGAGGCATCGCGAAAAGACCACATATACAAGACCATGGACTTTGACGCTACACCCAAGTCACAATGCACAAGACACAGGCGTTGCACCTGTGGCCCGCTACGGACGCCGCAGCGATGGCGACGGATGACTTTGGGCTGAGGTTCGGTCGTGCTAGAAGCCAGAGACGGCCCGCTACCTGCTGCAGGCTGCATCCAACCCTGCATCGGCCTTTCAGTCGGGGCACCCCGCGGCTCCACGGCTGCCGTGGATCTCCAAGAACAGCTTAATTCTTTAGCCAGGCACAAGCGTCGAAGTGTATCTCACTTTGGCATCTGCATGCCCAGGTGGTCAAAGGTGAACTTGGCATGATTGGCATTCTACATGGCTCTACGGAAACTGCAAATATTGCAGGGGCTGGGTAGAATTAGCCGCGCATTAGGTTTGACGTTGGCTATTTGATTAATCAAGCGACTGTAGACGCCTCAGAGTCCTCTAATGGTAACAACATGTGTGCGACAGAGATGACTGAATCTCTTTGGTCGCGGGAGCATGAAGTGTGATGTTGCGGCGTAGCCGTTGCGCAACGCCTTGCACCGTGTGCTCATTGCAGCACACACATCTACAAGTTGGTGACGATGCCAACATTCCGCCCTACTGTCGCCAAGATCAAGTAAGTGTCGCGTTCACCAGTTTACCTTGTTTTGCAGTCGACGTTTGCATGACTCCGACTCAGCTTGTGAGTGGCATGGTGAGGAAAGCACGATTGACGAAAAAGGAAGTAACACAAACGAGATTGGAGGGCACGCACCTTCGAATGTACCTTACCCCCGGAGCATAGACTTGCACACACCGCCTCGTTTGCATGGAGCAATCGCGACGCGTCTGCAAGCTATCATCACGGGCTCTGGCGTCGACTTTGGACCTCAGGCAAGCTGCCCAACTATGCTGTTTGAGTTGCGCGACACCGACACGCAACTGGAATGCTGTGTGGATACATCTCAAGCATCCGTTACGTATCGGAGCGAGTTTACATTGCGAGATGCTGTGATGGTCGGGGGTCGAGCCGGGCAAGCCCATTAATGTTACTGGGTCGGGGCTGCGTTGACATGGATGCGGTCATGGTGGATGATAGGAAGAGTATTTAGACAGTGCTGGTCATGCGGAAGGTGGTGTGGACGGGTTACTGGACGTCCAGGTTGCATCGTGAGGCAGTAGATAGAAGTACAATTTGGTGTCGATCAAGATGACTGGTGCTCCCAAGGGCTATAGACGTTGCCCCGAAAGCATTTACCGAAGTGCTGAACCGTTTCTCCAAGGAAATACCGAGCCGACGAAGGGCTAAGACGATGTCGAGCTGCAAGACGCCAGATCATGGTATGATCCCACCTTGCTGCGAACCTTATCGAAGAACTTTTGTCGACCACATTTCCTTTGTGTGCGTGTGAAAGCCGTATTAAACTGAACCCAGTGAAGTAGCCATGGGATTACAGGAATGAAGTGCTGAGAGAGGCGACAAACCGAGGAAGCCATACGAACCCTAACTTAGTACCGCTTGGGTTCTGCCTGTGTCAGCTGAGAGCTAGCGGTATGAGCGATCGTAATCACCCTCGTACGAGCGTCCTCCACCGCCGTACGCCTCGCGCGGAGGAGGGGCGTCGTAGGCGCCAGCAGCTGGGGGCGGGGGCCTGTCGTAATAGCCACCTCCACCACCCCGGCGGTCATCGCGTCCGCCATCGCGTCCTCCATCGCGGCCGCCGTCCCTGCCACCGTAGCTGCGGTCAGAAGCATAGCGGTCGACGCCACGAGGACCGTAGTCGTCGCGACGGCCGCCACCGTAGCCGCGATCGTCGTATCTTGAGCTGCGGGAACCGTAGTCGTCGCGTCGGCCGTAACCGCCGCGGCGGTCATCAGTGTAGCGATCGTTGTAGCGAGGGCCGCCGCCCCGGCCGCCACGTCCACCGAACTCTGCAATGTAATTAGCACGGCATGTACGCTGCAGACAGCGAGCAGACTTACCACGCTTGGGCGGTCCGTAGTACTTGCCCGGGGTGGGAGTACGAGGACGCGCACGGCGAGCCTTCTCAATGCTGAGTGTCCGGCCCTGGTGAACCTCTCCTTGTAGACCCTCCTTTGCTGCGTCAGCCTGCTCGGAGGTGACCATCTTGACGAAGCCAAAGCCGCGAGACTCCTTAGTGTGAGGATCGCGCATGATGTTACACTGCTCTACCTCGCCATACTTCTCGAAGAGACGAGTGACCTCCTCCTCGCTGAGAGTAGGATGGATGCCGGTGACGAAGAGGTTGGAGCCTGAGTTGCGGCTCTCATCGTCATCGTCCCTGCGCTCTGGCGGCGGGCCACTGGGCATTCGTTAGCGACAGTTCCATCTAGATGAGCAAGCAAGCAGATACGTACCGGCTGTCGCGACCGCCAGGTGAGGCGCTGCGGGCGCGCGCACCATCGTCGCGACGGTCACCACGCGGAGACCTGCTGCGGTCGCGTTCATAGCTGCGAGGCTCGTCTGCAAACCAGTCAGTAAGGGCGCTGGCATCACACAGGGCGGGAGACAAACCATCGTAGCCGCGCTGTTCGTTTTCGTACTCCATGGTGATGATGTTGTGGTGGGTCGGGGGAGTTGGTAGTTGGTTGGTTGAGGAGAGGTGTTTGCTGAAGCTGCGAGTTTGGGCAGTTTTTTGGCAGGGCTGATCGACGGTAGCCGCGTCCCTACTTAGTAAGCGTCGCGCTAAGGACAGCTGCGCTGCAAGTGAGTGGAGTAAAAGTGGAAAAGGTGATGGTGAGCGGAGGCCAGATGCTATTTGTAGCTAAATGCGATGTTCGTTCTGTCAAAGGACTGTAAGGACTGTCCTGACGGCAGCTGCGCAGGCTCGAGTGAGGCAACTGCTAGGGGCAAGAGCAGCGCCCTGGTCGCCCTGTCTAAGCCGTCAACGTCAACGTGCGTCAATATTACTAGTGCACCGCCGTTTCTTTACGAGTGAGGCTCTGCTCTCCCCGCCCGCAGAGGACCTTCACGAACGGAGTGAAACATTGGGTCAAGTGAGAATCGATGATGCGCATTACCACCAAGTATATTCATAATCAATCCAATCGCAATGGGCGCTTCGTTGACCGAACCCCGCTAGACGCCATGCAGAGTCGACCAGCCTTCCTCCAATTACTCCTGCCAGAATGCTCTGCCGAAACAATCCATCGAAGTGCGGTATCATGTTCCAACTCCGAATGTGAACGCCTTGCGCCAGTAGCACCTCATCTACCCATCAAGGTAGGTATGCTGCAAATGCCAATGATAATACAAGACATGGCTCAGGGAGCACATGCCAAAGAAGAAGATAAAAGAAACGTGAACCCAATCATCTACCATCCCCTCGATCTCTTCTGCCTCTTGCGTGCCACCGCTTTCTTGATTGCGGCGACATTCGACTCGGGCGTGTCTGTGGGCCGAACTGGATCAGAGTCGGCCAGGCCGTCGAGTTCGTCGTCGTCTAGCTCGCTAAGCTCCTCGCTCATGTCTCGGAGTACCTCACGACCGGTGTACCGTTCTTCGTATACGGTTGTGCCATGTACATCGAAGTGCTCAAAGTACCAGGGAACACCGCCATTGCCCAGAGGGTTGAGTAAGTTCTTCTCGGATCTTGGGGGCGTGAGGGGCTCGGGTCGGCCATTGGTCTCCACACGGGCTTCCACCACTGCGTTCTCGGGCTGGTTGCTGGACACGCGAAGAGCATCTTGGCCAAGTTGAATGGCAATGGCCGCCTCGTCTGCCGCCTCGTCATGTGCATGGTGTGTGTGATGTGCGTCTGCGGCGTTCTCGTCCGGTGTGGGCGCAAGCTGCATCTCCTCTGGTTTCTGAGTGAGCACAGCAGCTTCTTCCCCATCGACTGCAATTTCCTGAGCTTCCTCAACAGTTGTCGGGTCGCTTTCCGTCGTTTGTCGCACAGTCTCGTCGTGAGACAGGACGCTCGGCCTGCGTTGCAGCTTCTGGTTGAGGAGTGTCTCCAGGTCCGGTAGTTTTTCGTAAGGCCGACCAGCCAGCTCAGACTCCTTGCGGATCGCGTCCTCAAAGTAAGGTTGTAGGCTTTTGGTGATTCGCTTAACGACCTTCTTCAATTCCTTCTGCTCAGAGCTCAGACTGCTGTGCGCACTCCTGTTCAGCTGATCTTCAGCATCGCCAACGTTGGGGACAGCGGCAGATCCAAGCTCAGCACTCAAGACCGCGGCCACATCGTCGTTGAATGTCTGCACCGAAGTGTAGTATTTCTCATCGAGCTTGGTCTGAAGCTTGTTGAATCCGTCGTTGAAGTAGCCTCTACTATCGAGTCTAATGCAAAGTTAGTAGGGATTCAAGATCTAGAGGTGAATTACTTACGTTTGTGCTCGGACCAGGATAGGCTGCAGTAGCTGAGGTATCGGGAAGTAGATGCAATCGACGATCTGCTGCAGTATCAAGACGTCCTTGAGCTTCTCAGCTTCTCGCTGTTTGACCATCTCGCAGAGGACACGGATTTGCTCCATGTCATCTTCAAGACGTTCTGCAAACTCAATGCGTCGTTGGAGTCGGGGTCTGCCAGCTGCTCCCATGCCTGCAAAGTTGCGGCGAGTGATCTCCATAGAAGAGAAGGCCTCCATTTGGAGCTGAAGACGCTTGAGAAGGGCCGCACCTCGTCGTGCCTCGCGCTTAAGCGTCCAGTACTTGCAGGCTTCTTGCACAAATTCCTTACGCTTACGTACATTAAACTTGATCAGCGTGTTTTCAA